GTGTGTGTGTGTATGCCATCTATCTCTCTCTATATATGCTCTCTCTCTCTCTCTCTCTCTCTCTATATATATATATATATATGCACTCTATAGAAAGAGAGAGAGCTGTTGTTTTTGCTCTTCTAGAAACTGTAGCCTAAGGTAATCCCCCAAAGCCCACTCTATTGCTGGACAAGTATTATTTTTAGAAAGTTCTATTGGGTGTTTAGCCAAAATATACTCCTTGGAACAATCTCTACTCACTTATCTTGGTCCTGCTCTCTGAAACATTTCAGAACAAGTTGAGCCAATCTTCATATTATACTTCCACAAATACTTAAAGATGATTCCTACTTCTCACTGCCTTAACAGCAGGTCCATTTTTGCTATTGCTGCACACATCTTGCTCTTCCACAGCCTCCAAACCAAATTCATTGAGCTCATTCAGTCATTCATACCTTTTTTTTTTCTAAGTCAATTAATTCAATCACCTACTGTCCATTGAGTCCTCACAAAGGATGTCCCTTTTCAAAAACAAACAACCCTGTGAAGTCACTCACCATGAAATGTCTGGTAATTTGAACCGCTGACCTTTTTGGCTAAGCAAATTAACTAAATCCAGATGAGGTAAACCCTGAACTAATGACCAAACAGCAACAACAGTGATTTAGGAGAGTCAAAGAATGGGGAGGGGTGGTGGTGCTGAAATGGCCCAAAGGTGGGTGAAAAAGGAAGCTGAGAAATAAAACTGTGTGGAGGAGTGAGCTGAGAGAGAAGATTCTCCTAGGAGAAGTGAGGTTTTGCTTTGTGAGGAATATACCTCCAAATGTTTCAGAGAATGAAATCAAGTATCAAAAATTTTTAGGAGAAGCAAATCAGTACTAATCAAGATAGGGGATAAAAATATAAATTACAAATGGAATTACTGAAGCTGTGAGTATGGATTAGTGGATTATTAGCTAATGAATCAAAAACAAACCCACTGCCATCAAGTCAATTCTGACTCATAACAACCCTATAAAATAGATTAGAACTGCTGTTTGCTGTAAATCTTTATGGAAACATGCTGACACATCCTTCTTCCATGGAATGGCTGGCAGTTTGAACCGCTGACCTTTTTTGGTTAGCAGCCAAGCACTTTAACCAATGCACCAATAGGGCTTCTCTTATTATTCCTCCTGTAGGGAGGAAAAAAAAAAAACCTAATACCTTGCTTTTCTTTTACCCTACAGATATTTGTGTCTGTGAAAATTAATCAAACTATTGTGTATCCATTCAATGGAATATTAAAAAACTGAACCCACAGCTGTGGGGTTGATTCCAACTCCTAGTGACCATTTAGCACAGAGTAGAACTGCCCCACAGGTTTCCAAGGCTGGAAATCTTTATGGAAGCAGACTGCCACATCTTTCTTCCATGGAGTGGCTGATGGGTTTGAACCATCAACCTTTTGGTTAGCAAATGAGCTCTTTAACCACTGTGTCACAAGGTGCAAAAAGGGTACTGGGGACAGATCTTCTGACCTCCTCCAGCCTCACAAGAGGGAAACAGAATCACCACGAGCAACCCAAGGTTGATTCCTATGAGGCCACATCTGCTGCCATCCTCCAACCTTTTTAACAATTCTGACACCAGCTGTCCCTCCCACGGCACTCATGACTTCACTGTTGGGTTCAATAATTCATTGCAATGACCATACAGAACTCACAGATAATACTCACAATTATGGGCTTTATGAGGGAAGTAACAAGCTACAATTCAGGTTCAGGAATGTTTTGATAACAATTCTTTGATCAGGACAGTCTCCCCTCTGCTATGCCCTCAGGCATGCATCTCTGGCCCTTGGCCTCTTAGCCTGACCTCTGCCCTGCTTGGGCAAGTGTTACAAAGCTCTTTTAACTCCACCAATAGGTGCATTTAGGTACACCCCACTCTGCCAGCAAGGCTTCTGCCCAAAGGCACTCAGCTTTCTTGCTCCGTGGGCTGCAAGCCCACTGCTGTCTTGTGCTTCTTGGTTCCTCAGCTGGTCATCACAGAGATCTCAGTTCCAAGGACATGCCCCATACTACCTCCAGCTCTTCTCTCTTGATAGCAGTGAGATCTCCCCTTTCTGCTTCTATGGGGCTCATTTTAAGCCTAGCAGAATGACAAAACTAACTAATCCCCACATAAGAGTTCCACACACCTTATTTGCATGGTCCCATCTAGTCATCTGGTGGGAGTCACAAAGACCATGGCTAGGAGAGCCATCCTAAGTAACTCACTGCACCACACAAGGGTTCCCTAGTGGAATATTATTCAGCCATGAAAAGGAATGAAGTATTGACACATCCTACAATGTGGATGACCCTCAACAACATGCTAAGTGAAAAAAGCCAACTGTTGTATGATTCCATCCATATGAAATGTCCAGAATAGGGAAATTTTTAGTGTCTACTATATCTAAGGAGCTCTGGTAGCATAGTGCCTAAGGCACTTGACTGCTAACCAGCCACCAGCCACTCCTCGGAAGGAAGGTTGGGCAATCTACTTCCGTAGTGATACCGCCTTGGAAACCCAAGGAGGGGTCGCTGAGTCAGGGCTGACTGGAAGGCACATAACAACATAAAAACAACAATATGTAAGTAGGGTTTCAACTAGAAGGCAACTAAATAGATTAGTAGTTGCTTAGGGCTGGGGGAGGATGGGAGGATAGGCAGTTGATAGCTAATAGGTATAGTGTTCCTTTTTTGCAAGCAGCCATCTAGATGTAACAATGGGTCTCTGCACATCCCGAGCAAAGAAAATGAAGAAAACCAAAGATGCATGAAAACAATTAGCCCTGGGGACTACTGGACCTTGCAAACCTTAGCCTATATGATCATGAGACCAGAAGAACTAGATGGTGCCCACCTACTACTGTCAACCACTCAGAAAGGGATCAGTGCAGGAGATCCTGGATAAAGTGGGGGAACAATGTGGAACAAAAGTCAAAATCATAAAAAAAAAAAAAAGACCAGGTTTACTGGTCTGATATAACCTGGTGAAACCCCTGACTGAGACTATGGCCCCTAGTAACCTTCAGGTCTGGAATTGAACTCACTCTGGTGGCTTCCAGCCAAACAATAGACAGGCATATAGGGTGAACATTTACAGCAGGTAGATACACTCTTTAGAACGATCAATCATGGGAGCACAGAAGGGCAGTATTTGCACAGGGAGATAGCTCAGGGGGCAGGAATGCACAGGAAAGAAGGACAGAGGGAGGAAGTGGGAAGAGAACTGTTACGTTATGGGATTGCAGTCAATGTCATGAAACAAAATGTGTATGAACTGTTGTATGGAAAATGAATTAGCTCTATAAATGTTCATCTAAATCCCCATAAAAAAAAAAAAAACTTCTTTAAAAAAGATCCTATTTTTGCCTAAAATAAATAAATACAGCTGTTTTTAAAGGTCAATTAATAACTGTTAATAGAATGGGATAGTGGTTTGATCATTCCCCAGACTCTTCTCAGAGGCTCCAGAAAATATCAAAAACCATTCACTTCGACTGACTCTAACCTCAAGCTCTGACTCATTCTCAAGGACATTGGGGCCTGTTTTCCAGTGTTCAAAGAGAGTCTAACATACTTTTAACATAACGTGTATTCCAAGGGTGCATCAACATTCACAAATACGTACCAAGTGTTTGATACATGTCAGGCCCTGTGCAGGGCACTCAGGTAAACAAGACAGGCAATGACCTTGTCCTGGGCTCTCAGTGACTGTTCTTTTCCCACCTAGAGTCCAATAAAACCACCATCAGCCTCCACCTGGGACAGTCACGACAAATAGCACTTCCTTCAGCCAAGCCCTTTCCTCCCTTTTAGGTTCCGGGTAACTTGAGGTCATAGATATTATTGGTCATAGAACATATTAATTCAATCTGCCTGTTTAAAACATGCCTAAATAGCAGAATCCGTAGGAAAAATCTGGTGGAAGGAAGCAGACAGTGGATTTGTGGAATGGCTTTACAACCTTGAGGGTCTTTCAATTCACAGCCGATTCTTCCCTGCCTTTATTAGTGCAGCTGACTGAGGGACTCCTCCCCTTGTTCCTCCTGGTTCCTCTCCTGTCCTTTCCATTTTTCCTCCCACCTGGCACATCACTGTGTGCACTTACCCTTCCCTCCTCCACCGTGAGTGATCTTCCAAAAGACTTCAGCAAAAATGAAAATCAGGTCTAAGTTTCAGGAAATGAGTGATGGTTGGAATGCTGAATGGTTCAGAGGTCACAAATGGTGTAAGGGTCACATTATATAATTCATTTTCACCTCATGTCAGTGCCAACTGAATTACAGTCCCCTGGTTTATTAATTACCTGGAAGGGCAGGTAATTCAGTGCTCTGTTTTCAAATACTGAAAACACAATAACAAGTACTGAGAAGGCAATTTGACTGATCAATTATTTATCATTGGTGTTTCTCACTGCTGTTGAGTCACGTCTGACCCATAGCGACCCCTCCTTGGCTTTCTGAGGGCATATCACCACGGAAGTAGATTGCCCAACCTTCCTTCTGAGGAGTGGCTGGTGGGTTTGAACCGCCAATCTTCTGGTTAGCAAACAAATGCCTTAGGCACTAGGCCACTAGAAAAGCAAAAAGCCAAACTCACTGCCATTGAGTTGCATTCAACTCATAGCACCCCTCCTTGGGTTTCCAAGGTAGTATCACTACGGAAGTATATTGCCCAACCTTTCTTCCGAGCAGTGGCTGGTGGGTTTGAACAGCCAGCTTTCTGGTTAGCAGTCAAATACCTTAGGCACTGAGCCATAAGATTTAAGAGTCACTATTCTTATGCAAAAATAAAAGTTACTTTAAGAAATATGGCAAGAGACCAATGAGGGTGGGTAGTGACAAGGACATCTTGAGCCTTGCTTTACCTGAGACAGCAGTAACTGGGAAAGACAGTTAAAGACATGGAAGAGGTCACTTTAACAACTGAGAAAATGTCTCTACTGTGCACCAAGAATTAGAATTAGGAAATGGTGAGGATACATACCTGCTTTGCAAGGTAGAATTTGGATATAGAAGATTTGTTGGTCCTGGACTTATATGCGTGAAAGAACTGCCAAGGAGCCAGCAGCCAGAGGAAGCCCAGGGGAATCCACACCAGAACAGTTTGCTCAAAACAAAGTGGCAGGTCTGCTTCCGGGCTATCCAGGAACGAAGAATTCTGGGGGACCAAAGATAGAAGAATATTGGATATGTGCATTTATTTAAAAGACAGAGGACTATCCCTCGGCTCCCTCAGCATACTCCAATTGCTTCCAGATCATTTGAACTCAAATGCAGAGCTCTATCTAGCTGTACCGTTCCGCTATTGGTATTACTCAGTGGCTTTTCTCATCAACCCATCCTCTAAACACCTATCTTCCTGTGATTCCAAGACTATACTCGAATTTTTCTGTTCATTATTCTGAGTAAACTTCACCACTACGTTTACAGAATGGGAGGGAGAAGATGGATCATTCCTCAGCACAACAGAGAGAATAATTCCCCAGCACTGGTTAAACTCACTGGCCCACGTTCAAACATGTGGGTTCCAGGCCGACTGAACGCTTAGCTACCATGGCATGTAGTCTCCGACAGCCAGGGATGGAGGACCCAGTAACCAAGGCATGCACAGGCTTACTTGTGCTTCCTGTAGTCAACAATCCTGCCCCTCCTTGCTGTCTCATTTTTGCTTCTGCTTAAATGTTGACTGCTTAGTCTCATATAGTTGATTAAGGGCGCATATTACAGATGATGTTTTTTATTTTATAAGCCTATTTCTAAAATAAAGGTGACCTCCAAGAGTGGCTTCAGTTCTACATTCAAAGTGTATCTTAAGGTGATAGTCTCCAGTGTTCTTCTAATCTCTAATCAGTTCAGTTAGTCTTGCCTTTTTTTAGGAATTTAAACTTTATTTCTCCTTTTCATCCTATCCTATTCGGGACTATCTATGGTGTCGCTGGTCAGAATGGTTGGTAATGGTAACCAGGCACCTTCTAGTTCTTCTGGTCTCAGGCTGGAAGAAGTTGTGGTTCATGAGGGCTGTTAGTCCTATGGACTACCTTCTTCTTTGAGCTTTGATTTCCTTCATTCTCTTTCGCTCCAGACAAGTCAAGGCTAACAGTTGTATCTTAGATGTGCATTTGCAAGCTTTTAAGACCTCCGGTGCTACTCACCAAAAGAGGATATAGAACATTATCTTTATGAACTATGCTTTGCCACTTGACTGAGTTGTTCTACAAGACTACCATCACAAGCTTTTTAACCAATCCCATGAGGTATTTGGATAAGACGGGGCAATCTACTTCCGTAGTGATACTGCCTCGGAAACCCAAGGAGGGGTCACTATGAGTCGGGTCCGACTCGATGGCACATAACAACAACAACAGGAAGTCTCTGTAACTGTGCCCCTTCCTGTACATATTTTTTCATTGTTTTGTATAACTGTTTGCACGACTCTTTAAAGGAAAGGTTGAGGTGCCATGACCAAGTTGTTCTGTCAGGTAATTCCCAGAGAGATTTCTCAATTAGGCCACTTATGTCCTACCTTCCTCTGGTCCTGCCTATCAGGCCCTCTCTAAGATGGGGAGTGCTGCATAGGTGTCTTGCTATCTCATTCCTGCTCCTCTCAGTTTTCCTCTCAGAACTTAAACATCTTTGGGGGACTTTTTGGCTCTCCTTTTACAGCCAAAATTGTCATAGTCTTTGAGGGCATCAAAGGAGACTCTTCAAATAAACTTTTAAATCTTTCACTGCTGCTAGTCTGAAACTCATAGAATTAGTCTTGACCTGCCTCAGCTGTGATTAGCAATTCAAAGCTCCTCTACTTTTTGAATGATAACCACCACCACCACCACAATAGTACCGCTTACTGAGTACTTATCACGTGTTGTACTATCTAAGCACCTTGTTGTTATTGTTATATGTCCTTGAATGGGATCCAACTCATAACGACCCCTCCTTCGGTTTCCAGGGCAGTGGGGCAGTATCACTACTGAAGTAGATTACCCAACCTTCCCTCTGAGGAGTGGTGTGTGGGTTTGAACCACCAGCCTTCTGGTTAGCAGTCAAGTACCTTAGGCACTAGGCTACCAGAGCTCCCATTCTAAGCAACTTACATGTATGAAACTCTAAATTTTTCATTACAATCCGAAAAGGAAGGTATTATTATTATCCCCATTTTACAGATGAGGAAATTGAGGTGTAGAGCAGTTAGATATTCTGATTAAAGTCACACAGCTATGTTGTTGTTGCTGTTATGTGTCTTCGAGTTGGACCGACTCATAGCGACCCTTCCTTGGGTTTCTGAGATGGTATCACTATGGAAGTAGATTGCCCAACCTTCCTTCCAAGGAGTGGCTGGTGGGTTTGAACCACCAGCCTTCTGGTTAGCAGTAAAGTGCCTTACGTGCTATGCCACCAGAGCTCCCTACACAACTATAGGTATCACTTTTTTTCTAAAGTGTTCTAGACTATAATAATAACATTTCTTGGGGATTGTGTAAGGGCTTTACATTTATTTTCTCACAAAATCCTCACAATAAACACCTAACATATTCTCAGAAAGATTCTATATTCCTATCATAGTTCAGGCACAAGATTTACTCAGAAATGCAGAGTCATGTTAAACATATGGTAAGGTCACTGCTTTGCCCACACAAGTACCTCACTTAAAAAACATCTTTCAGCCTGGGTGGTTCCAGTAAGATGGCAGAATAGGCAGAAAGACTGCACAGATCCTCTTCAACAGAGAAAAGGGGAACAATTAACACAGATACAGAAGATAATCCTGAGCCTGGGTAGTTCTGGTAAGATGGCGGAATAAGCAGAAAGACTGCACAGACCTTCTTCAACAAAGAAACCAATTAACACAGAGGCAGAAGATAATCCTGGACCCCTGAGCCTTGAAGGGAAGGGTATAGAAGTGGACTAAACTCCAACTAGCAGAAGAATTTACCTGGAAACACCAAAAAAGGAGACATACAGAGCTGTGGTCTGGCAGCGATCCTGACAGCACAGACAGCTTGGATATTGCCAAGTGGTGATATAGGACCTAAGAATTAACCTAAAAATCAGCCCTGTTAGCTAGGGACTGCATGGAGGACTGCTCTGGTGGCTGGTGAATGAAAGGGGAAGCAGTGAAGAGGAAGGTGGGCTAAGCTGTGGACTTTTGCCTGTCTGGAGGGTGCAGCCATTTTGAATGTTTACAAGCCACTTGACCATTTTGGATATTTAAAGCTACAACTTTAAATTCCAGGGACTTAAGAACAGGCTCCACTTGCCAGGAACCGCAAAGACATTTGAGACGCGGACGACTGGAAAGGTGTGACATTCTCCTTGTTACTCTTATACCCCACCCCCTCTTGGTGCACTGAGGTGCAGCCATCCCTCACTCCCACCCACCATCTGGGCTGGCAGGAAATCCATCCCAGTCTGCATCCTGGATGGAGCCTGGGTGCCCCGCCCTGCCCTGCCCTGATTTCTTTTTCCTTTTTTCTATTTTTCAGTTTGTTTGCTTTTGTCTGTATTAAAACTACTACTATTATTATTACTTTTGTCCTTTTTACTATTATTTTTTATTCTTCCCCTCCCAAGTTCTAGTTTTCAGCTTTTTTTCTTTTCCTTGTTCCTGGTTGCAATTTTTTTTTTCTTTCTCGTGGGTAACCCCATTCCTTGCTTTTCTTTTTGCACTCTTCCCACTTTTTTCTTCATTATTCTCCTTCTCTACCTTTTTCTCTTATTGCCTTCTCCCCAGATATAGCATTTTTTCCCCTTTTTTTCTTTTTTTGGTTGCCGTTCCTGTGTGATTACAGTTTGTGTTGGTTATTCAATTGTTATTTTTGTCTAACTGAGTGGAAGACAGCAACAGTCCACATATGACACACCTCCTGCAGCTTCACTTACTGAGTGAGAGCCACCACTTCTTTCTCCACCAATAGGCCAATGATAAACAACCATCAAAGAAGAGTCTGACTCACACTTGGCCACTCCTCACAAACAGTTAACAGAGATCTAACTATAACAATGCTATGATGTTTTGGAGACAACAGACCATGACAGTCCACACAAAGAAGCAAGATAAAGTGGTAGAAATAAGGGAGCAGGATATAGTCCCAGAACACATCCCTGAGGAAGAAGTAGCACTGGAATTCTCTGATAAGGAATTTGAAAGAACGATATTTAGGTATCTTCAAAGGATTGAGAGACAGACCAAGGAAAACACAGACAAACCCTAGAAGAATTTCGGAAGAAAATAAAAGAACAAAATGACAAATTAGATGAATAATTAGAAATGATTCTAAATCTACAGATAGAAGTCCAGAAGATTAATACTAAATTGTCAGAATTAGATAACACATTGGAAGGGCAAAGAAGTAGAATTGATGCAATGGAAGAAAAAATTAATGAGATTGAAGACAAATACCTGAATACTTCCTTGGAAAGGGATCAATCAGAAAAAAGTTCAAAACAAAATGAAGAAAGCCAAAGGTTCATGTGGGATACCATCAAAAGGAGTAACCTATGTGTCATTGGAATTCCAGAACAGGAAGAGAAAAATGAAACCACTGAGAAAATTGTCCAAGATTTGTTGGAGGAGAACTTCCCTGATATGATGAAAAATGAGAATATATCCATTCAGGAAGT